GGCTCGTCCCAGTGGCAAGGTGGGCCGGGTGACCATGGCAGGAAAGGGCTAGCCGTTGGTAGCCGTTTGCATTTCGCCGCACCTGTTCAAGGGGTTCCACAATGCGCCCTCGCTTCATTCTCCAGCCCTTGCATCATTGTAATAGTTGTAAGCAGGCATGGGGGTGCAGCAAAAGGGGAGTCTCGCAATCAAATCCCATGCTTTTTTAGCTATTGCCACCGTGATTACCAACCGTCGGCTGTACCTGGTCCCAGGCTGACGAGATGTGCCCTCTCGCCCTTGCCTTATGCAGGCGAGTGGGTGGAGTCGCTGAAATCCTATGCTGGCGGCATAGCCCTGCACCCAGACAGCTCTATCTATGACATTGGCATCGACTGGATTGCACCCTACAACTCTACACAGCACAGTATTGGCATCCTGTTCATCTGTTGTGCGGACATGGACCCCCATAACAAGGGCAAGATCTGGAATCAGGGTGTCATCGCCATCATCCCCGGCCCCAGGATGCCGTCTGTCCTCCACCCCTACCTCCAGCCCATCGTCGACGACCTCCTCCGCCTTGCCAGTGATGGCATGCGTGTCTCACCTGCTGCTGCGCCTGCCAATCCGGAGGCTGCAGAGGGTGCTGCAGCTGGTGGTGCTGGAGGGACAGCTGTGGGCGGCATGGCTGACGGGCAGGCGCCTGCTGATGGTGACCTCCGGGGCACGCGGCCCTTTCAGCACCGGGTATTCCTGGGCCAGGTGCTTGCAGACACACCCGCCAGGGCAAAGGTGGCATGCGGCAACGGCCAGAACAGTCGTGTCAGCAGCTGCATGTGGTGCCTATTCGAGGCACACATGGAGGCCAATGTCGGGCACGGGGCCACTGTGCGCTTCCGTGGCTACATGTACACCCAAGCAGTCAGCCAGCACTTCGTAAAGTGGAATGCAGGCAAGAGCCTGAAGGTCGGCGCCCGGGCTCTCAAGAAGACCCATCGGCATTTCGTCAGCACGGGCGGTGTCATGCAGGCGATGTACAGGATGCTCCACCTTGGGGCTCCACACAAGATCACACAGAAGCAGTTCGACGAGGTGGCGCTTCAGACTGGGTGCAAGGGCCTGACTGCCTTCGCGGCCCTGCCGTACGCCAACCTGTCGTGCCTCTTCACCGTCTCCACCGGCCATGCCCTGCTGTTCGGAATGGTCAGCGACTTTGTCACAAGCTGACGTTGACACGCTGACATCGCTCAATGACATCAAGCCAGCAGACCCAGATGCCGAGCTGGTCATGTCTCGTGAAGCATGCCAGCGGATCACGGCTCGTGGCCAGTTCCTGGTCATGACTTCGGACTTCGGGCGGCGGTACAAATGCATCATGCAGTACCGGTGAGCACGGCCAGCACTGGGCAGCCGGCCACACACGGGGGTCGCTAATAGCCGAGAAAGCAAATACGACCAGGGGCTTGCCTGAAAAAACACCTTCGTCTGTCGGAGAGTTTGCTACTCTAGCTCTGTAATGTACTTCTCTAGTTACACGGTTGCTCGCCACACTACCCCCCTCCACCCATGCAGCAAGAGCTACCGCATGGAGGACTGGCTGCACTTCATCGAGACGTCCTCCAGCTACACCTTCAAGGGGGACATGCTGCTCGAGGCCTGTGGTGGAGCCTGTGCAGCACGGTCACACACTACTTCCGGCCACGGCCCCCCGACAAGACCCGTGAGCAGTTCCTGGTGGCAGCCAAGGCGGCTGCATGCAAGCTCAGAGCTTACGCGACCAGGCTGGAGGAGTTGGAGGTGCCGGGCTACATGTTCACGGTCAACCTGCACATCTGCATATGCCGGCTGTACGACCAGGAGTGCCAGCTTGGGTCCACGGCAGGGTTCTCCGACCTGCCAGTGGAACACATGATGCAGCAAATGAAGACGCAAGGCGGAAGGATGGTGTCACAGGCACCCGAGAAGCACTATGTGCAGTGGCTGTGCCTGATATGGGCCTCCGAGTCGCTCACCGAGGCAGACCCCGCGACCGGGGCCAAACACACGACCAACCAGCAGCTTGAGAGGATGTTGGCACGGCGCGCGGTGAACACCGAGGCTGCCTGGTTTGACAAACCAGGAGCCAACGGTTACCTGCTTGGATGAGGCCACACAGTCTACCCGAGTCCGGAATGAGCGGCACAAGTCTGGGCAGCCATGGCGAGCCTAGTGCACTGGTACACCCTGGCATTCGAGGATGTGGCTTCCTGGACATTGGGTCCCAGTGCGAGCTACGAACTGGACACGGACCGCCTGGATAGGGTTCTCATGTCTACACCACCCGACTGTCCTAAGGCCCACTCCTTTTTGCATGCCGAGGCACTCGACGAGGAGCAGTACTTCAGGGCTGAGTACGGGCGCCAGCAGCAGCGGACCTCCTGCTGGGCATGCTACCAGGCAGAAGTCGGCAACAAGACTCGGACGTATGCGGCCTACCTCAAGTACTTCGTCCACCTGCCCGCGGAAGACGGTGCTCAGGATGTCCGCTTCACTGTCGCAGATGTGTACTCGGGACAGGTGTTCAGCGGGGGGCTGGTGGTGGTCAACATGGCGGCCGCCCAGAAAGTGAGGGCAGGCAGCCAGTGGGAGATGTGGCAGGACCTAGGGCTGCCGCTAAGTGAGCTGAAGGGCAAGTTCTGCACAGCCGCCCTGGAGGGGGACCAAAAGGGGCTGATGTACTTCATGCCGTACACACACTTCACCAACCGCTGAGCAACCGCAGCAACGAGGAGGACATACGCCAGGCTAGAGCCGAAGGGTCATCCGTGGCTGGCAGACAAGCGGAAAGGGACATCCGGTCCGAATCCAGGGGCCCGGTCGGGCAACAAGTGGATTGGCGAGCCTTGGGGAAAGACGTTGGCTGCAAAACATGGAGACAAGGCCATGTCACTCAGAGGCACGTTCGAGCCCAACACGGCCTCAGACCCAGGCGCGATAGTGGCATTACGAATTGAAGAATTTTGGGCTCCGAGGATGGCCGTCAACTTTGGTGGGGCGGTGCAAAGAACTTATGGCGATCGGTTTGGCAGACGCGCTGGAACAGTTGGTTCTAGCGAGTAGGGCAGGATCTCTGCGATGGATGCACAAATCGCTGGAGGTGAGGCTACGATGTGGACTGACACCCCTTATTGAAGAGATAGCAGACCAACTGGCGGCAGCCTTCCGAACAGCAGCGGGAACCTATCAGGGTGTGAGTCCAGTTTTTTGGGGAAAGTGTCCAGTTCCCCAATTGATGACTACCACGTGTCAGAGGAGCAATGCGGGGCCAACTTAGGTGACTTATAACGGGTGCCCGGGTGCGCCACCCGGGGGTGGTCGGGGGGACGTGGAGACGAGAGTGAGAGAGTTGGAGCTACGAAATGGGGAGAGTTTACGGTGGGAGCAGGAGTAAGGCGAGGCAGAGAGGGGGGCGCGCGGAGCGCGGGTGGCCGGGGTGTTTTAGGTTGGCAGGGGGATGGAGGGTGGGACGCCGTGCGTGGTGTGTGGGGCTCGCTTAGGCTGAGAGCGTTACAAAGGTTGTAAGTGAGCCCTTCGTATCATACGGATGCTCGCCCCAACTAATCCGGCCCTTACAGTGGCGGGCTCTTTGACTTCAGAAATGCTAGATTTGGGGTCTAACTTCGAGGCGGTGTTACGCCATTTTTCAGTTAGTATTGTGTCGTTGGTATAGCCTGCGAAGGTACCTTGCTGGAGACGCTTATAAAGGCCTTTGTTCAGGTCACTAACGTAAAGACCAGTGTCGCGTTGTTTCAGCCAGAACACTTTATCGAACGGGGCATTGTCGGCCTTTTCAGTAAATGTTGCTGGGTTCTCACCTCGTGCGACAGATGTTGCTCCTTTGTCAGCTTTGTCATTACCATCAAGGCCTGTGTGCGATTTCACTTTCAGGAAGTGAACGGTTATGTTCTGTTGGGCGCATTCGTACAGTAGGTCGGCGATGTCCATTAGTAAGGCTTTGTGCTTGGAAATATGCAGTTTACTCGGATCGTTTACTGCTCTTTTGATAAGATCCAGTGAGGCTTGCGAGTCAGTGGCAATTGTTAAGGTGATGTTCACCGCCCTTTGGGTTGATAGAGCTACACGTATTGCTGCCAGCTCTGCCCATTGAATGGTATTTGTACATCCTTCGCCCACTGGGTCGATGTGCAGCGTTTTTCCGGTGGGTCCACAGTATGCAGCCGCACCCAACTTGTTCTGGCCGTCGTTTTCAGCCGATTTAATACAGCTACCGTCGATCCAGATGATAGTGTGCGGGTCCATCCTGAGTGGTACTTGTCCGGGAAAAGCTGCTGTCAGGCGCTGCTGGAGCATCTGTCCGTCCGAGTGGGGGACTGTGGTGGTTGGTCTTGGTCTGGGCGGCTTTGAGGCATTCATCTTGCGCATGACCTGAGCGACTTTGTTTGGGTAGGGTCGTTGGGTGCCGACACAGTGAGTACCCGCGGACATGTCCCGCAGTCGCAGATGTTTTCTGGGGAGGCCGGTGGCGTCCATCACTTCGAGTTCGGATAGGAGCACCTTCATGGATCGGGCGTTTAGTCCTCGGATCACCGTGTCGTTGGCCACCATGACGAGGTCCAGGCCCCCCTTGTAGTCAGGGGTGGGGCCGTCAGTTCCAGTCCCGCTGGTAAGCTTGCACGCTTCACCGCGGCTCAGCCGCGCGAGCTGGAAGACATATGGTGTGTTGTGTAGCTGCGTGTGGGGGCCAGTTCGGCTGTGCGGGACAATGAGTAGTGTGGCGGTGGGCAGTGCGGATGTCATTGTGTGTGATGCGCCTGCGACTGCCCACATTACTGCCTTCTTGACACTGGTGGGGTCAGGGTTCGGGTGTGCTATCGAGAGGCCTGTAAATGGCTGAGAGAATGCATCTATGTTTGCCCCGAAGAGTTGGTCTTCTGCGTGGACACTGAAGTAGTACTGCACCTCTTCACCGCAGTTAAGCGGGGATGAGAACCTTTCGACGACTGGACCGGCATCCAGGGCGTGCAGGGCATCAATCAGCGTACAGCGCAGTTTTCTGCTCATGGTCGCCTGCGACAGTGGCGGGCCTTTCGTTTCGCGCCCGTCGGGGTCCTTTCTGTACCGCAGGAGAAGGCGCGCGACGTCCTCGGTGAAGCCGCCCTGGGAGGACAGGCTTCTGTGCACCTCCGGGTAAGTGTCGATCGTGTGTTGGTATCGCACTCTGAGGGTCTCCAGGCGTTGCAGGGTGAGGGTGCCCACACATTTCCCTCTCGGGTCGTAGATGAAGGCCGTGTTCCCTTCGGTCGAGCCGCCCTCTCTGGTTAGCAGACCTAGCT